AATATCGTTTTAAAAACGAGAATGATTTTCATATACAAAATTTTAATGTACATATAATATTAGTTCTCTATAGGAAGACATCAAGAAGTTCAAGCGATTTTGAATTTCATTGAAACAATTTATTACGATTTCGAATTTGATTTGCGCCAAAATAAGGATCAAATAAATGTGAATTAAACAAATCAAAATGCGCTAATATTTGAACGAAGAAAAACACCTATGACTGATGTGAATAGAATTTGAATTTAAAAGAACTAATGGACATTGTGAAACTACTCTTGATATTATATTATCTATCATTTTTTATGTATAAAAATATTTTATTATTGATAAAAATTGAAAAAAATGTTTAATCTTTTTGTTTTATTCTTTCTGGTATGAGCTGCTAAATGATAGCACATATCAAAGTCGAAACGTGTAAATAATCATTTTTTAAGTTTACCAATATTACAAGTCGGCTACTTTACCGTTTAAATTTCATTTATCAAGATTTCGAATTTGATTTCCGGGAAAGTAAGACCGAATAAAAGTGGATTAAATAAGTCAAATAGATGTGCTAACATTTCAATAGCACGTAAAATTAAATGTATGAATATAATTTGAATGTAAAGTGTACAGAACATACTTTTTATTTGATTATATTGTAAGTTGTTTTAATTGTGATTATATTTAAATTTTGCTAGCTTCTTTAATTGATGTAACAATTTTTAATATTAATTATTGTTCATTTCAATTTTTTAGTATTTTAATTTGGATCTGTTTATTTAATTTAAGGGACCCGTATCAATGCCTCAAATGTCTACGAAAAAACAGTCAGCACCATTCAACCATGGTCAACCTGCTTATCAATCCGCCCATCCGACGTGCAGCAAAGATGAGAGTAATACTAGTGAAAATCCAACTGATCAGAAGCAAGATGGTACGTTTACTTATAAATTTTGGATGAGTATAAGAGTAATTTATTAAATTATGAAATTGTTGTGTTCGAACTATAAGAATTAGTTACCAATTTCGTCCAATATCAGATTCGAATGTGTTCTGATATCCTAAAGTAATTGAGCGATGTCTCACAATTTTACAGATTTAAAGATTTGTTAAATATATTTTGTGAAATAATGTTTTGTTAAAATTTTTTCAGGTACTAAGAGTTTGGTGAAATGGAAGGGTGTTATGTTTCCTTCTGAAGACGAAGCATCAGCGAAGGCTAATTCATCTGTAGTTCAAGTCGAAGAAACTTTAGATGGACAGGTAAATTTTGTATATAATATATAATTTGTTATATATCTGTTTGGTCAACATTATTCCCAATACATTCTTTAACTTTAATGCTTTGCAATTTCAGATTCTTATAGTTGAACTAAACAGAGGATGGAATAGTCGTCTTGGTTTTAGTCTTCAACCTGATCCAATTTCTGGAAAAACCATGATTAGTGCAATTTATGCTGACAGCGTGGCTGCAAGAGACGGTAGATTAAGAGAAGGTGACCGGCTGCTCATGGTAAATATGATGCATAATTTTACTATATAGGACGGTTTATCATTGAAACCACATTGCTAGCGGCTTTTTTAATCATTACATTACACTATATACTGACAATTGCATAATTAAAGTCGGAAATAGTAATATTTGCTGCTGTAGTGATAATACAGCATTTTCAATAATTATTCAATGATAAATTATTCATTTAAGTTATTACTGATTAAAACAAAATATTTGCAAATGAAATCAACATTGTGTTTGCAACAAAATGAATTTATATATTAATTTTGAAAAATCAAATGACATTTAGAATAAATTTATGAAATAAATGTATAATTAGTCATAGCATTTTTGTCTAATATAATTTATAATTTGTGACCATATTATATAATTACTTTCGTTCTTTATTTATTATGTGCATATATATATGCACATAATGAATAATATATATATATATATATATATATATATATATATTTAAATATGAAAAATATTTTGTAGGTAAATGATGAATCCATAGAACACATGACTACCACTGAAGTAATAGATTTGCTGAGAATAATTCGCGGATCAATCTGCATTAAAATATTGAGAAAAATGCAGAAAATTAAAATAACTGGACGATTTTACTAGTGAAAATCAATAATTCTGTGTGGTTTCATGCTATGCACAGAAACTAAATTTTGAAAAAAAATCTATTATTTTTTCAATTAGTGTATAGTATATTAGCATAGAAACCTGTGATAAGTCAATAAGGGTTTTTAATCTATATAAGTGTATTCAAAAAAAAAATTACTATTATTGAAAGGTATATTTTATTATAATGTAATTTCTATGAAAATATATTTTTTGGAATTTGTTGAAGTTCCTATTGGCTTAATTGAAACGAAGTTTACATGTGACCTTAATATGTACAGTTACTGTATAGAAATTTGTATTCATTGATTTTTTGTTATATTGGGGTTAAAGTATTGGTTTTATATCTTATTTCATGTACATTGTTTTTAATTTTTATAATTATCATTGATACATAATTGAATTTACTTTTATCATTCCTACTTATAGTTATTTAAATTATTTTTCAAACATTGAAAAGGACCGTTATGGCTTAGCCATATCAAAATTGTATCATTCTTATTATTAGTGTAGTATATTATACTTGTGATTAATGAAAGTTTTATAAAGAGTGCAAAAATTGCCTTCAAAACTTCTACTTATAAATAATGTAATGATTCTAATTAGATTATAGTCATAACACCCTCAAATATATAGACTGCAATATAATATTATATAACTGTTAATTGTTTTCTCTATTAGCATTCTCTACTGGATCTGTATGTGTACATGTATATGTATGTGTAAATATTATATATATATATATATATAAACATACATTAATGCATACATAAATTGTCCATACATTAGAAAATTTTAGTCCTCTGCAGGGAAGAAAATGCATATATAAAAATTGTTGATTAACCAAAGAATATGATATCTTAAATGCATGTATGATATGTAAAATATATGTATGTTGACTTTTGTGTACATATGTTTTTCCAATGTGATTGTGAATATGTATGTATACATGTATATGTATATGCATTACATGTTCATGTTCTAAATTTATATGTACTATGTGTATATGCATATATTTCTATATGTGCACATATGAAAAATGGAATAAATGAAGTATAAAAAATATATACTATTATTACAATAAATATTATTATTTATCTTTCTTTTGTAATCCTTCTTTCTCATGGAATATACAATCATTACCAACACCCTCAAAATAATTGTAGTTAAAAAATATACATATATATTTCTGTTTACATTTTAGAAATCAATGATGGATTAAATGTTATTATTTATCAACACTTTTTAATATATAATTATATATATATATATATATATATATATATATATATATATATATATATATATGTATATATATATACATAATCATAACTAAAATTAAGAAAGCTTTCCCGATTTGTTTTAATCTTTGTAGTATGAACTGTTGAGGAATAACACATATGAAATAATCATTCTTTGATTCAACAAATTAGCTGCTTTGTATGTGAACTGTTTCAACAACACAAATTTACGCTATTTTTTAAAGCAAAATTCATCTTTGAAAATTAAAAAATGTAAAATATCAAATTTTACAATATTTTCAAAACATAATTTTAATCAATTAATAAAACCATGAATAAAAATAATAAACATATTTAAAATGCATGATGAAAATGCATCGATATAACAGAAACAGATAACATGTTGTTCCATTGTGTGTCCTTCATATATCTATGAATTTTAAGTATCTGAAAATCGTTTACAAACATTTTTGTTCATTAGAAATATGCAAAAGTAATATGATAATTGCATGTAAGCTTGTATACCATTGAAAGTGGTCATTTACGAGAAAGAATTATCGTAGTTATGAATATGAACTATTACTATTGAATAAATTTTGCATTTGAGCTGTTCACGCTAGAACACAATTTTATTGTTCTGTATTTTTGCTGTTATATTTTTTATTTTATGGCTAATACAAATTGGCATTATTTTGAATCATTTTATACCTAGAAAACCATAAAATTGCCTGTGAGACGAGAAAACAGTCTTTTCTTTTGATACAGATCTTTACATTAGTAAAAAAAATTTAAACAGATTCAGTATCAGTTTAGAGAAGCCGGATATGACAAAATTTTCGATACAAGTCCCTCCGGATTCACTCCGAAGGAGGAGTTATATCCTCGAATATAACCAGATATAACTCAATCTACAATTTCCCAACTGTACTTTTAACCAGGATTAGAATAGTAATATAGACTTCTAATCATTTCATTAATCGATGTGTGAAGATGCGCCTCACCTAACGAACAAACATGAACAAGAAAGAATGTACGTACCAGAACGAACGGCAACGAGCATAGTGTGGACGCCACAACGAACACGAACGAACACGAATGAACACAAACGAACATAGCGAGCAATGTTCCGCAACTTGTCGGCACACCAAAGAAAATTGTTCGTTCATGTTCAAATGTAGACAAACATTTCTGCATTAGTTTATGATGTGCACGGTACATCTTCGAACAAAGAAGATTCAAGCCCTCACTGCTTTGAGGCGTTTGTTCAAATTCGTTTGGAGTGATTTGCCTTTGTTCGTCATCGTGTTTGTGGTGTTTGTTCTTCTTTTTATTTTCTTGTTCGTCATGTTCGTTCGTTAGGTGTGGATGCACCTTTAGCTGAGGCGTCACCTTAACGAAATGCAACGGTGACAAACTGACAAATGAGGGCAAGTGAAGTTAACTTCATATTGTTGCGGTGCAAGTTGTCATGACACCGCCAGACTGTATAGTGTACTTTGAATCAACAGTACCTGTCAAAATTGCGATCATACCAGTCTGTCATGATTGCTTGAATTGGGAAACGCCGTCAGCTCAGAGCCGTCAGATTCGGAGATTGTAAATTGCGTGTTTGTGCTGTGTCGCTCGTTTTAGTAAATAAAATCAGTTGCCACAAACGATACCTTGATGCCGTTCCCTATTCGCGACAGGCATTCTAATTTCAAAATGAGCGAATCCGATTATTGTGATGGAATTTCTGTCGTCGATGTGTACGACATAGCATCCGATATTGGAAAAGAATGTGAAAAAATAATTGACAATTATGGTGCAGACGCTGTTACTGGTCTCATGCCGAAAGTTATCAATACTTTAGAGCTATTAGAAGCATTGGCCACTCGAAACGAACGTGAAAATACCACACTTCAAGAACTGACGTGCAAAATTTCCCAACTGGAAAATGAAAAGCTGGAAAAAGCCGAGTATAGGCAGCGGTTTGAAAAGGTCTGTTTCTAAATAGAAATGCAGGTTTTTAATACAAATTTAAATCATTCTTCAACTAATATATCAAATTAAGTATGGCACTGTCATTTAAATGTCAACCTCTGGCATTAATTATATTCGTAACCTATGAACTTTGAATGTTTTTGTGTTGAAAATATTCTAAATTGCTGTTGGATTCAAAAAAACATTTTTGTCGTCTTTAGCATATTACCATCGAGATTTAAATATCAAAAATGTTTTTTTGTTGCTTTCAAATGCTTACAATTCAATTATCTTTTACAATTTATGCTATATACATATTTAAAAATGCTTTAGAAATTCTCTTCTCTAATCACATACTCATTGTTTTTGTTTTACTAAATACAAAATCTCAACTATTTCTCTGATTAAAATTAATGGCACTTAAAATTAATATTTATTATGAAAGCAAACACTAATGCATGTTTCATATTATGGTATTTATTATTGATGTATGATCGAAGTAAATGTTTAGAATTACTTTAATTCTTAACTTTTCAATTTTTCAAATAAATTTATTTTGAAATAACTAAAATTTATTTAACTTACTTAGATTGAGCTATGATTGATTTAAATACTATTTTATGTAAACTTATTTACTTATGTTTTATTCGAATTACAATCTTGTTAACGTCGAATTAAGTATTTTGTTTAGTTATGTGAAATATTTAATTTTACTTATAATTTTTAAATGCATATAATTGAGTATCAGTAGTATTTCACATTATTGCACATGTAGATCTTTGGAACATTTCCCATGAAATAGAAAGTGTGAGAATTGGCTTATTATTACTTAACACTATTCACGCATAATTATTTTTACTTGCTAGTTAATAAGTATTCTATTTTGATACATTTTAGTTATTGGATTATTACTTTTTATGTATAAATTAATTGGTTTCAATTCTATTTTTGAATTTGTTATCAACTTCAAGTTAAACCTAATAAATACAGCATAATGTTAAACAAATTCAAATATTGTTTTGTTCTCAAAACTAGTGCTGTATTTGTAATTACCATTACATTTTATAAAATGCTGTTATATAATTCAATTAAATATTAATTATTCACTCAGTTGATTGCAAATGCTTTTGGTACATTAGCTAAATATTTAGAATACTTTCTTGCATAAGTTACATATAAATAATTTTAAAACAGATATTATTTTATGACAGTCCCTCTTCAAATAATATTTTTTATAAATAAATATGAAATAAAATAATTTATTATTTTTTATTTTTTTACTTTAATTATTATATTTTATTATATTTTTATTAGTTTGTTTTGAATATTTCAAAATATTTATATAGTGCCTTCTGCAGGAACTGGAAGCTATAGAAGAACAATGGCGTGGGGAATCTCAAGAACTCGTTTCTGTTGTAAATCGTTTACAAGAGGAAAATAAACGCCTTTCACAAGCTAAGGGTGAGTGACTGCAAAATGAATGGCAGACATTTTTTTTGCTAATGTTCTTATATAATTACTCTGCAAAACATGCCATAAGTTGATTCCTAAAAAATAATAAGACTGAACATATAGTTTTTAATACAGAACATAATTATAATGTTCTATTTGTATCTGTTATTACATATAAATTGTACAACAATTTAAATATCTCTTAATTGTGATTTTAATAAATAATAGCGTTTGTTATATTGTTAGCTGGTGCTGAAGTAAAGGAACAAACAGCTGAAACATCCTCGGCAGATGGGCAAATGTTGCAAAGATTGAGAAATTTAGTTGATAAACAACGTGATGAATTAAGAAAGAAAGATAACGAACTACAGAAACAAGCAACAGATATAGAAAATGTGAGTTAATTATTCTACTTATATATAAAAATTTTATGCTATAAAAAATGCTATATTTAATTTTTTTAATTTATTGCATTACAACAAAGAAGGGATTTTTGGTGAATTTTTTTAAAAAATAAGTTTGATGTATTTTTTTTTAAATTATGTATTTGATTATAATAATATTCATATCACATAAGTTTGCATAAAAAGCTCACAATTCAAATTTATTGAAATTTCTATACTGATCATAATGAATACAAACTTCAATTAAAGTATTTATCTTGATAAATGTCCTATTTACACTATTTTATTGTATTGTATTCATTATCAACAAGATAAGAAGTGATTAGTGTAAAATATAATGCTTATTGTTTAAGTATATAAAATTAAGCATTTCAATAATTTTGCTATATAATAATTTAAAAATTATGAATGTTTACAATACAATATTAAATTTTGATTTATAGTTAAATTATATTTTGTATTAAATCATTTTTTATGTTTTATAATTATTATAGTTAACTTGCATCTCTAAAAATTAGATATTGTGTAGGGATTTATTAAATATAGTTCAACCTCAGTAAAATATTATATAAAAATTATTATATTGCATTGCATTAAGTTGAAAATGATTTACCAAAGGAATTGAACTCCGCCAAGTTCTTATTTTTACATATAGTAGTGGTATAAATAGTTCTTCTAAAATATTTAGTTTTTCTAAAATTATATTTTGGTTAATTAGAGAAATATATTAATTGAACATTCCACTTACATTCAGAAATTTGTTTTTTTATTAGCTAACATCCCAAGTAGATCGAATGAATAGTGCTGCTAAAGAATCCAGACGCAGGCAAAGATTGTTGCAAGCACAAGTTGGTGCCCTTTGTGAAGAACGAGCTGACTTTTTAGCTCGATTATTAGATCAGAACAGAGAAATTGGTACATTGAGAAAGGGCCTTGGATTAGCTCAGAAAGAAAATGAAGATTTGACTAAATTTCAGGTACAATATTTGTATATCTATTTAATACTTTTGCTTAATTTGCATTTCTTAGGGCAATTATTACATGTCACACAAACATGTAAATTTATATAGTATTACCTGTATATCTTTAATTCATAAAGTTCTTATTTTTTTCTTAGAAATTTTTAGTTAAGTTTAATATATTAATATAATATTATTCTTTGAGCGATTGTAAATTAAATTTATTATAAAAATTTCATCATCTTCATTTTATATCATCTGACAACAGGATGAGAATGATCCATTGAGACCACGCTTTACTACAGCTGAACTGAAAGAAATTCTTCATGAGCGTAATGAATTGAAAACCAAAGTATCAGAGCTTGAAGAAGAACTAGAAGTTTTTCGGCCTAAACCTAATGAATTAAGTGACAGGTAATAAATAATTATAGATTTTTATCGATCCATTCGAAATTTATATGGTAAAATGAACTTTAATTTTTTTAAATGTTTAATATTGTTAGTCTTTGCCAAAATAAAAACAATTTAGAAACTTGGTAATTAAAAAATGTTTTTATGCATGCTAAAATAAAATTGTTAATTAAAAATGTAATTATGTTGTCATTAATCTTGAATTTATGATAAATACTAATGCATTAACATTAAAAATGTGAATGAATATTTTTTAATTCCTGGACAGTTTATGACAGCAATTTTTCCAAATTTATAATTCTAAGAGGTAAATTTATTATGTTCAGTTTGGCACAGGAAGAAGATGCGCCAGTCCAAGGCCCATTGCCATATGAACCAGATGATGCCCCCTGGAAGAAATCATCAGAAACTGGTATTAGGAAGTTGTAAGTATATATACTGACATTAATCAAATGTTTTCAACTTATATAGCTACATTTTATTTTTATTTTTAATTATTATATATAATTATTATATTATATTGTACTAATAATGCTCGAATATATACGAGGGTGGTTTGAAAACTCTCTGCATTATTTTTGAGCATATTGCACTCCCAAAAGATAAGTGACACAACTCGAAAATTTTCTGATGCCACTCTTTATATGCATCATATTCCAATTAGATTAATCTTGAAATTAAATTGAATAAAGTTAAAGTATATAAATATGGCATGAGTAAAACTAGTGGTGAGTTTTGGGAATGCTGTATGCTATGAAGAATAAATTATCACACTTCTGAACACAATACAAAAAAAACTGCTGCATGTGTAAAGTACATAATTAGTTATGATCTAAGGAAGCATTTTCCACTTCATTCAAAATTCAGCTCTTCTGTTCTTAGTTTAAGTGTTATTTGTTGAAAATTTCTATCTCAGTTGATCTTTTTTTTTGTTAGTTTTCGCAAGATATTCTCGGAGTCTGGCGGCGGGGGCGGCAGTGGCGGCGGGAGCGGTTTTCCTCGCCGTTCTCTCTCCACACTTTCGAAGATGGCTCTGTCAGCCGGAAATCAGCAGCACAATGATGACGACTGCCAACTCTGAACAAACGCCACTGGCATCAGCCGAACGAACTCGGAGTTGGATCGACGGTTTTATCTGCACGGACGATTTGGTAGTCGGGAGCGAGGACGCAGCACGAATGGCGATGATGTGAGTCATTAATTTGTTTGAGCGCTTACTTGATTGTTCAATTGGTGGTGCAATATTAATTTTATATCATACGTACTGTTCTGGATGCATGAATCCATCATCATAATATTACCTACTCTAATGATCGATGATAATAAAATCTATCTAGAGTGATAGGCGCTCAAAATTTTAATAGTATAAAAGCCAGTGAACTATTTGACTAACCTGTTTTCACAAAGCTAGAAATTTTTAATATGATATTTTATTATCGGTTCATTAAGAAACTACCAGCCTGGCAGTCATTCCGCGGTTGCGTCATCATCCCTTCAATTCTTGAAAATGTCAAAAAAAAATCTCATAACCTGCTCCCAAATGGCTCAAATTTTGAGGGTGTATTTTTTTTTAACTGTTCAAAAAGTATATGTAAATAGCCAGAACATTCTGACAGTTGCACAAGGGTATGGGCACATTGCCATTGACAGTTTGTTGAATTTTTGAATGAAATTGAAAAGTGGCTTCTACGAAATTCCTTACTACACTGAAGTAAGATGGCTTACCATTCTTAAAGTTTTGGACAGATTTCAATATTTACTTGATGAAATAGTATCCTTATTGTCGATAAAAGGAAAGCTACATGATTTTCCTGAATTGCAAAATAAGGCTTGGCTAAACGATTTCTCATTTTCAGTAGATATCGTAAAATATTTGAATGAACTAAATATAAATCTACAAGGGAAAAACCAATTCGCTTTCAATATGCACTCAAATGTCAAAGCATTTATGACAAAACTCAATTTATTTGCTGAAAACTTTAATAATAAATTATTAAATCATTTCCCCTCATTGCAAGCACGGCGAGAATCATTGAAAAATACAGATTTTTTTAAATATAGTGTATTAACACAAGACCTTCTGAATTCCAAAGAAGATTGCAATATTTCAAAGCTATTGAAAAACACCTTTATCATTAATTAGCCAACCTTTCAATTTCTATGTGCAAGAAGCTCCTGTTGAAATTCAATTAGAACTAATTGACTTACAATCAAATAATTAACTAAAAGAAAATTTTCACTAAACCGAATTGAGTGCTTTCTATGGCCCTTTGAATAACGAACATTTCAAACATTTTTTCAACTATGTTCAAAAATACATTGTTTTATTTGTGAAAGAACTTTTTTTTTAATGGTTTTCACGAAAATCTACACTCGGTATTAAGGATTGCCACAAGTGATTTGGAATCCAAGTTTGAAGAAATAATGTCAGATGAACATTCGAGATTTCACGTTTCGCATTAACGTTAAATATTTATTTTTACGTTTGATGTTTTTCTTATTTTTTTTGAAATCTATTTACTATTATATATACGAAATGCATTATAAATGTTAAATTGTAATAACTATGTGTCAATATAAAATAATTTGTATTGTTGAGACATAAATAAGTAACAAAATAAAATCTTCCATTGACTGGTTTATCTAACAGCCATTTATTTATAATAATATTTCTTTCAAAATTACGTGACATATTTTATTCAAATTGAAATGATACTTAGTGTTTTTGTCAAAAAAATTGAGCAGGGAAAAAACTCCATCCAAAACCTCCGGCCCGGGAGACATTTTGAAAATTTCATTTTGGCCCGCGCTTTATAGTATTTGCCCACTCCTGTCATACATAATCGGCTCCACCCTTGTATTTAAATAATTTATACGCCATTTTGAAGGTCTGCATGAAAACATCCGATATACCAAACTTCAACTTTGTATCTCACCTTATGGCCGAGATATCATTGAAAATATGCCAAAGTGGCCCCTTTTTCAAACTCAATTTTTGGCCTAACCATCAAAGATATTGAAAAATAAATTACGTGATTCTACTCACATTGGCTTAGACCACATACTGTAGATTAAGAATAAAATAATTTTTTAATCAATGTTTTCGGGTAGTACGTTTCGTTTACTTATTAGCGTTATTTGAAAGCCTGTTTTTCTTTTAGTACTGCAAATATTGTTCAAATCAAATTTATGAAAAATCAAAACGCATTGAAAAATTGAACAAACCAGAGCCAGTACACCCGCGCGTAACGCTAATAGTACCCCTCATTACGCACTGCTTTCCGACCGAACGAATTCTATGCCGGGTGGTCAACGGCTCTGGTTAGTCAAATAGTTCACTGGCTCTTTTACTATAACGACCAGACTAGCTATAAGCTCTTTTTTTTTTTTTACAAAAGCCATATACTAATTCATGATTTCAAATAGCTAAGTGCTAATCATATTAGTTTTCTTTAAATCAAAAAATGATTTAAGTGCCTAATAATAAGGTGACCATACGTTTTTTTATGTCAAAACTTTTAGTTGCGCTAGGCTGAAACGGGATGGGACGGCATGAGAGCTTTTTGCTCTGTACCTAGAATATGGTTGAAAATAACAAATACTATTTAAGAAAATTAGAAAAATTAGAACTTAGTAAAAAATTAACACTTGTACCAGGCAGTCAAAATGTTTCTTTTTATAACTTCCACAAAGTGGTAGTTCAGCACTGTCCCGGGACATAAGGTCACCTTCTAATAAGTGAGGCACAAACCATATATAAAACCATGGTGCGTGCTTTGGTAAAAATAGTAGAGTTTTAATGAACTCAGTCTTATATTTATAGAACTGAAGATAATGCTAACAATGAAATCTCTTGAACAACGAGATTAATTTAGTGCCAAACAATAATATATTAATCTGTGATTGCAATAAATTAGGATCTTTAATCTTAAAAAAATCTACTTTACTTTTTAGCTTTGCTAAAATTCTACTTACATAATTTTTGTATGTACTAATTATTTAAAAATATTGTTTCTTCCATTGAAGAAATGAACAGATCGACCAATCGATAGAAAAGGTTTTGTGTCAAAAAGCATTTAGGCAATCCTATAATACAATTATAAATCACTTGTTGATTTGTTTCATTTGACACTAAAGCAAAAGACAGAAATATAGACAATATTATATTTTTTAAAATCAAGAATTGATGTTTCCAATTGAGCAATCAATTATGCATTATTATTTCATTGATTTGTGTGTTTCAATGTTTGTTTTTGTTTATTCAAGTTGAGGTTACAGCATTAGGAATATATGTACATTTGTTAGTTTTTTTTATCACTCATTATTCTCTAACTTGATTTGCATTTGATTTATTATTTTTTTTGTAGTGTATATTACTAATAACAATGCTGTAACCATTTCTTGAAATCCTGACATTGAGTCAGTTATGTGTCATATATTTATTTATTTCTTACTATATTTTGGGAGGGTGCAGAATGATTATTTAATATTATTTGGTGAAATTAAAAGTTTACATGAGTTTTGTTTGTGTGATATTTTATTTATAGCTAGTATTTCATATATATACTTAAATGAAAATATACTAACAAAGATCATTTCATATAAAATTATCTGCATGTGTCCTAAAGGACTTTTAGCTGTTTATTTTGTTTTGATGAATTGACTGTTTGACCATGTCCTCAAATTGCTTATATAAAGTAAATAATGCAAATAATTTCAATGCAATTTTTGGTTTAAACTTGCATTTTATTAAAGATTTTTATACGTTTTACTTTATTTAAATTCTACAATTTTTTTTATTTTAATATGCATTTATAATTTTTGCCTGAGGATTTCATATAATTTATATATATATATATATATATATATATATATATATATAATTTACTAATATTTATCATTTGACACTTTGCCTATAATATATTAGTTTTAATATATTAAAAATTTGAGTAAATGATTTTGCCAACATACGTACAATCGTTAGTTTATGGACATTAAATTAAAATGTGATATATTTTGATTTTACGAAATTCGTAGTAAATTAAAGATTTGGTTGAAGAAATTGAATAAACTGCATAAAATATATGTTGTATTAATTTTTATTGGTATAATGTAGTGAATATTAACTTATATATAAATCAGTCATTTTAACCAAAATATTAATTTTGTTAATATTAATAATATCACGCTATCTTTATTTATTAAGCTATTTTTAACATCTAGTAAAATGTTAGATTTTAATTTTTGTCTGTTATATACTGTAGTATACAAAAGCATGCCTTGATCGGATGCCATATTATATCGTTGTTATATTTTGTATATTAATCGTCTATTATATATTTAGTGAATCCAAAATGCAATACATTATGTTATTAAACATGCATATAATAAAAAAGTATTACTATTAATATTAATGGATTTATTTAATTTAAACTTTCGACTCATTTTTTTTTAATCTGACAATTTTTTCTTTAATGCACTCCATTGGGCTTCCAGAATAAGGGTTTGTACTATTATCTTAAACAAATGACAATTTAATTTGTTTTTAATATTATCACATTAATAATTATTTTTATTATTTTAAATTACCAGGGAACTAAAAATTTAGCATAGTTATTTATTAGATATTTCCGAAAATTATCGTATTATTATCTTGACATAAACTTATTTTTAATATTTGTTTGAATACTTCTCTAGTTCTTTATCAAAAGTTTCATAAATTAAGAAAATATATACTTTCATATTCAGTCCACAAAATAAGTATATTTTTTTAACTGCTTGAAACATAAAATATATGCTTTTGATTATTGTTCGGGTTTTCATAAACTTGAATTAGATTCTAATATTTTTTGTAATATAATAATAATATGAAAATCAAATTACTCCAAATATAAATTTTTGACTTCAAATTGTTGATATAAAGTGAAAATCAAATCTTGCGTTCTTATCGATTGTTGAGCAAGTGTGGCTAGTTACCACTGTTCTTCTGCACACAAGTACATATGTTATTCATTTTATATCTTTAACGTATTTATCTTTTTTTAAACAAAAATATTCTGTGCAGAAGGTTGAAAGATTAAT